CCCATATTTGGGCATACCAGGGGTTGTGACTAGATAGATAGATAGATAGATAGAGAGAGAGAGAGAGAGAGAGAGAGAGAGAGATTGATTGATTTTGGATCCATTTTTTCATTGTGCTCCTTCACTTTTATTACTATATTTTGTAAATTATTTGCATTTTTCACAATCAGGGTACTGTTATCAGCACAATGCAGAATATTGATGTTTCTTCCTCCAGTTTCTTTGATCATTTTCCAATCCAGCTTCCCTCAGTATAGTATATATTGAGTATATAGGTTGAATAAATAGGGGGACAGTATACTGCTTGTCTCATTCCTTTGCCAACTTGGAGCCAATCTGTTTTTCCATGTTAGTCTGTACTTTGGCATCCTGATCAGTATATAGGTTTTACATAAACTCAATGAAATGTTGTGAGATTTCCATTTTCCTAATTACATTCAACTTCTTGACATAATGAACACAACCCAATGAATCAATGAAACATATTCTAACTTCTTTCTGGTATTCTTTGCCTTTCTTAATTATCTAATGTGCATCAACCATAATGTTTTGCCTTCCTTCACTTTTTCTAAACCCAGATTGAACATCTGTCATCTTCTTTTCCATGTAAAGTCTAGCCTGCATTGGATGAGTCTAAAAATTATTTTGTTAGTGTTTAAATTAATACATAGTGTACAATAGTTTGCACAACCTATTAAGTCTCCTTTGGTTGTTACTGATATATAGATTGATCTCTTCCAGTCTATGGTCAACTGCACCATTCTTCAGATTTGCTGTCATTGCTTGGTTAGGACGTTTACTGATTCTTTTCTTTGCCATATTTCTGTAGATTTTCCATTATTCCCTACAATGCTGATCTGAATTACTGGACTCTTGATATTACTTCATCAACAAAACTGATAAGATAGTGTTTGTTGGAGAATTGAAAACATTTATTAAAATCAAGTAGTGCTGCAACTAGGCAAGAATCTTTTATATTCTTATAATTCCATTTTTCTCAACTTTCAAAGTATAGCTAAGGATTTTCTGTTAACGTTTTAAGGTTCCATTTGCATGCCATAAGTTGATTCAATATTGCCAGAATTTGTAAGGATACTAGATAATGAATTCTGAAAATAGCAGCATGTTATATGCTCAACTATTCCAACTTTTCTCAAATCGAACAGTTATATATCCTGTATGCCCATTCCAGAAAGAGTTTAGCTGGTGTTATTTCTCAGATTGCTACTCTGGAACAAGCCTGTCCAAACTTGTTCTTTACCCGTAATTTGAATTGGACTTAATTTTCAGTTCTGTGTTTGCGCAGGTGGTTTTTTGGGAAGATTCCTCGAGCAAGGGCTGAGGAGATGTTGGGTAAACAAAGACATGATGGTGCCTTCCTCATCAGGGAGAGTGAAAGTGCTCCTGGTGATTTCTCCCTCTCAGTCAAGTGAGTATTACTTTTGGATTGATTTGATCTGATTTTAACGATTCCCTGGCTTCAGTCTTTGAAACTTCTGTTATTGGCTGGAACAAAGAAAGAAAGTGAGTTTTAAAAAGTTTCCTCCAGTGCAAGGATGGCTGTATTAGCCTTTCATAGTCCAAAAACCTTCTAACGTACTGCAGTTCTGAAGATGTTTGGTTCGTGATTCTCTTTGGATACTGACACCCTAGAGCCGTAGGGGTGAACCTATGACACACATGCCAGAGGTGACATGCAGAGCCCCTTCTGCTGGCACGCGGGCTGTTGCCCCAGGTCAGATCTCTCTGGCGTTTCTTTTGTGAGCGTCTGTTTCCTTGCAAACAATGAAACTGATAAGATAGAGTTTGTTGGAGAATTGAAAACATTTATTAAAACCAAGTAGTGCTGCAACTAGGCAAGCATCTTTTATATTCTTATAATTCCATTTTTCTCAACTTTCAAAGTATAGCTAAGAATTTTCTGTTAACATTTTAAGGTTCCATTTGCATGCCATAAGTTGATTCAATGTTGCCAGAATTTGTAAGGATACTTTGTTCGGATGCCCCACCTCCCACCGGCCACCTGGTCTTCGGGTCTCTGCTGCGCATGCATGCATGTCAGTGCATGCACATGTTTGTGCACATGCACGTCTTTTAGTTTGGGTCTGCGCACAGTTTGGGCACTCGTTGTCTAAAAGGTTTGCAATCACTGCACTAGAAGTTATGAAAGGGGGGGGGGAAGGTGCCTCAGCCCACTGGCAATGAATTTAGGATTGTCAGCCACTCCCTAAAACTCAGGTGCTTTATAGGAGGCAGCCCTAGGATCCAAAGAAAATGCATTGTGTTAAAAAGTAGCAGATACATGCTATGTTTGTGCCAGAGTATTCAGACCTTCTTTTGCCTTCCAGTCCAAAGTGATACATGATCACACGCATTGGAATTTTTTAAAAAGTTATCCATAGCTACTTACCTGTTTCTAATTCAAGTGCATTATCTACCAAAAGAGGCTTTCAGAATATGTGTGGTTGTTTTTTTGCTCCCAGTCTTGTGGCCTAACAGAAAAAATAAAGTACTTTGCTGAATCATTGTTGTGTTGTGCAATGTTTTAAAATGTAAAAAGAAGGCATGAAGGGCCTTTTTTAATATCCAAGCTTAATAGCCTGATCGTGCTTTTGTTTATCCACATATAGAGCTTGCTTAACTCCTTAGCCACTATGGATGGTGTTTTTTTTTTTTTAAAGGACCTTGGTCAACCAGACTGGACTCATTCTTGGATTTAACTTTAGGTACCGGTATTCAGTTTTTGCTAAACACAGATAATAAATGTGCGATAGTAATGAGAATTTCAAGACTTGCAAAAGAGTTTTCGTTTAACACAATTTATATGCACTTATTTCCTTGACTTGTGACATTGACTGCTGGCTTGTACTGCCACCTCATGTTTAGAAATCCTCAAAAACCCCAATATGCATTTCCCTTGGCTGAAGATTAACCCTGTAGATGTGCAAGAAAAGAATATTCCTTTCCTGGGAGAAATGTTAAAGCAGTGAGTACATCTGAAATGTTCTTCCCCTTCTTTTTAGATTCGGAAATGATGTGCAGCACTTCAAGGTGCTTCGAGACGGTGCGGGCAAGTATTTCCTCTGGGTGGTAAAATTCAATTCTCTGAATGAGCTGGTAGACTATCACAGATCAACCTCTGTCTCCAGGAACCAACAGATATTCCTCCGAGACATTGAGCAAGTGCCTCAGGTAAGAAAATCTTTGGAGTTTTCCTAATCACAATACTACTTTTATTCTTTACTAGCCAACAATGTGGCATTGCCTGGGTATTTATTTATAGGGGGAAAATGCCCGGACCAAACATAATTTCTAATGTTGGATTTTCCCCTTTACCAAAGGGAGCCCTCTTGTGGAATACTGTGAAGTCATTACCATAGCAACTCCACTGCGCTGTACAGTAGAATCCAGTATGGCACAACAGGCTGTATCTTAACAGAAAACACATCCCGAGGAGTGTTAGGGGAGTCTTACCCCCACAGTATTTGTTTCCAGAGAGTAAGTCATCTTGGTACACAGATAACTTACTCTCTCGAGTAAGAAATTGCTCAAGGCATTCCAGAGTTATGCTGGAACATACACATACACACAACGACTTTATATAGATAGATGCATGCCTGTAGGAATGTCTTTTTTAGTTTGCGTGTGGAGGTGTTTCCATGAAGGATAAGTAAAACCTTGGTGACTTAAGAGGACAAATTGTGCTAGGCTCTATTCTGTTTTCAATAATGACACTATTTTAGAAAGATATATAACCCATTCCTTACGCCAGATTCTCAAGGATTTCTAAAAATTATATAATAAAAAAGTACAACAGAACACCCTCTTTCTGAAGTAGCTGATAAGCTTTTGAGACATGCATGAATCTGCTGAAGAGAAAAGCAGTGAGGTCCCTAGCATTATTTGAATGCACTATTTCTGGTGAGGTTAACAGGATGCAGCTCAACATGCTTAAATGCCTGGGCAATTTTAAAAAAACATTGCCAAGTGCCAAGGAGTTACTAAACTTAACAATGTTTGTGGAGGAGAGCTTTCTAGCTTGGGGTGGGGGGGAGCTGAGCGGTACTGCAGGTCAGCTGTTTTTCTCTCAGGAGGAGGAGATGCAGGGAGGCAGTCACTTGGCTTCTACCCTCCTTTCTGAGATTGCCCTGGGAAAATTAAGAGGTTGAGGAATCTGGGGCATTGCAACGAGGTAGCGTGGAAATGATGACAACATGTAGGCAAGTAAGGCCCTTGTGGTAGAGGACTTTGACAGCTAGTTGCTTGCAGAAGTTGAAGCAAGTAAGCAACTTTGTAGGAAAGTCATCCAGGATTTGGTAAGTGTCTCATATCCATTCAGTCTGTAACAAAGTTTCCCTCATCCATAACTTGACTGTGGATGAGGGGGCTGACTCAGTCTGCAGCACCAAGTATGGTTGTATTATTTGTAACGCTGATAGCTGCTAGGGACATTGGCCCAGTTGTGAGCAATGTTCCCTCTAATTTTTTTTCTAATTATGTATAGTGTTTACGGTAATGTACACTGTTATTCACTGAAAGTCTGTCTCATCTTAAAGTTTCTCATGTCTGTCTTTCTTTAACAACATTCCGAGTACACTTTGTCAAGATCAATCTGCACCGCTGAAGTCTGGTAAGATTGGATTCGCATCAGCATATCCAAGTGCTCAGTTTGCAGCCGATTGCGAGCTTTGGTCTTGATGGCATTCATCAAGCTGAAACCTCGCTCACAATCGGCGCTTGACGCTTGGAATGTTGCGCAGATGTCCAGCAGACGTCACATGACAGCAATCCAAACTGTTGCTCTCTTAGTACAAACTGAACTAC